CTTCTTTTATCATCGCTGATCTTCTTCCTCACTGTTTATGTTGTTTCTCTGTTCTTTCTTCTTTTTTTACAGAGTAATGAAAAAAGGAATCTTAAGTGTTTTGGTGTTAATCAATTTTTCTATCCCACAAAAAAAATTAATTTTTTTTAAATGTATCGGACTAATGAAAAAAGTATATTTTTAAAATTGTTTGAGAATAAATTAATTTAAAAATGTGCAAAAACTAACCATAAAAACCTTAGCCATTCAAAAAAAGTTCATCTTTCTTACATAGAGTTTTAATAAAAAATTTTAAATAAAAATATTATATTTATAATATCACATTATATTATAAATTTATATTATAATACAATATATTTTTATATATTTTTTTTCTACTCTCAAACCCAAATCAGGTCCTAATTCCAAAGAATTTGCAATTTGATATTGCAAATAGCTGAAAACTAATGTAATCCAATCATAAATATTCCCTTTCTTTTATTAAAAAAAAAATTTCCTTTTCGTTTTTGGGTTTTAAAAATATATATATAAAAAAAATTAGATCGTCAAAATAATTTTTATGGATGAATAAACTCTCAATGAAGGTTTGGTAATCAAATAAACTCCTAAAATTGTAATTTATATTTTGTTAGATTTTTGTTTAAAATTAGTATTTAAAAAATAACAAACGAGCTAAATAGTTTAGTGATCATTTTTTTCACTGAAAATAAGAGATTCTGAATTTAAATCACATGACACGCAAATGAAGTATTATGATCAAAATAAATAAATAAATATATATATATCTTAAAACTAAAAAAATCAAAATAATCCTATTAAAATTAAATGAAGAGAGGATTAAAATTTCTTAATATGATTATTCGCCCCTTAAAGATTATCGTGTGCATAAACAAATAGAGGGAAATGTAACCGACCGTCTTATCTAGCGGTTGATTATAACTTTGAATAATGATTTGCGGGACGAAAATGAGTGACGAAAATGGGAACCGAAAAATGAAGTTGGCTAGGATACAAGTGAAACAGGTTAAATGGGTAATTTTGTATCCCGACAAACTTCACTTGTCGGCTCCCATTTTCACCCCCCACTTTCGGCCCGTAAATCATTATCCTTATAACTTTAGAATCGAATTCGGCTTTCGTTTGAGAATTGTTTCTCGTTTCTTTTCTCTTTGTTTTTTTTTTTCTTTCTTTTAAGGGATTTACAATTAAGGATAGGGGATTCCAACCTTCACTTTTAAATTAAAGATATATTTTATAAATCAATTTATAACTATTAATTCGCGAAGTTGAGGTACAAGAATTGTTTCTCATATTTTAATTTTCAATTTTTATATTTTTTATTATTTTAAATATATATATAAAATATTAATTAAAATAAATTTTAAATATATTATATATTTTTTAAGTATTAAAATATAGTAAAACTTATAATTATTATAACTCAATGTTGCCAAATTATGCCTTTAACATCACGAAGGCTTATTCTCTGTAAAGATTTACCTTTCTTGGATTTACCGGAACGATCGACTTTGAAAGATTACCGTAAGTTTATATTTAATTTTTAAAGTGTTGTATAATTTAATATAATTTAAATTTTATAATATTAAAAAATATAATTTCTCTTGCATCCATGTTTAAATTGATGCCTGAATACATTGCTTGGTTAAAGTTTCATTTTGTTCCTCAATAAAAGTTTTCTAGTTATTTTTTTAGTA